TGAGAAAAGTCATAAACCATTGTAATTTTGTTACAAATTATTTTAGTGCAATTACGGAACGACATACTTATTTTAGAGTGTGTACTATAGGCCTTGTTTAATTTGACCTACTAAAAAACAAAATAGGCTAAAAATTTAATAAGACAAAATGTCACATTCAAATTATAATCATTTAATTTTTCTCTCATAAAACTACAAAAAAGCTAAAAGTTCATTCTAAATGGAACTTTTTTAATTAGTCATGTTAAAATAACAAAAAAATCAAAAAGTTAGGCTATAAAAATTCTTCCCAAACGAATGGTATAATTTTTTCCCTTCACTTAATTATTTTCCTCTCACACTCGTTAGTGTAAGACAACTTCAAAAATTTGTAAATCCTTACCATTCATATACTAAATGAATTATGTGATACTACTTTTAATTTGTAATTTTTTAGTGAAGTTCTAGTTATTGAAACAAGTTTAGAATGTTCTCATTATTTATTAATTTATTTTTAATAATAATTTATTGATTTTAATAATTATTTAAATTGCTTAACCGGTCATAAGCTGATTGCTTGAACTTTATCTAATACCTTACTTTCAGCCCCTACAGTCATCAAATTTTGGCTCCATCATCATCACAATTCATGAAAGAATAAGAATAGTGAACAGATTGTGTGTCCCAGTATTTGACGGTTAGTTTTCAAATTTTCAACGGTCAACTTAGAAAATGAATCATCGTAATTCATGAAAGAATAAGAATAGTGAATAGATTGTGTGTCACAGTATTTGACTAATGACATTATATTTTTTAAGATTTATTTTCCGTTTCTTCATCAGTGTGCATTCATATGGAAACATATCAAAAAACAAATCTCTAACCGTCTCAAAAACTCAATAGAAATAATATATCAACAAATTTATTTAGTTTGAATGAGTAATGAGTCTCTTCTCAGGAAGAGTCTCTCGTGTAGGAAGAGTCTCTCGTGTGCGAATTTTTTCCTAGAAAGAGACTCATTGAGGCAAATTCAAACTAAACAAATTCAATAGATAAATCATTAATCGTAATATATATCTATTGAAAAATTTAGAAATCCCCTAATTACTGATTTGTGATTATGTATCAATTTTAAGCAATAAATAACAATCACAATCAAACAATCAAGACAAATCGACACAACAATTTTAATGTGGAAAAATCGCAATTGGAGCGCCTCCAATTGTGATAAAAAAAAAACTACGGGAAAAAGCCACAAAACAATCCACTAAAAAGACATAAAGGAATTACATAGGTATGCACTCAATTACCTAGCGAATCCATGCCCAATTGAATCAACCCCTATGTGCCTCTTCCAACCCCATCTTCACCTCGGAATTGTCTTGCCCAACGTTGAATCCACAATGCCGATGTCGAATCACGACAATGAGCCACTCAGAATCCACCAAAGCTTCAAGCTTGAATTCTCCAGAAACCACCGAAGAACAACTCTCTCTTTTGTATAGAATAAACAAACAATCCTTTGATATATACTTCTTAAACCATGAGTTGAATACTCAATCAAACATCAAAGAAAACTCGCACAATAGCCCCAGATATAAACCCTAATAGTCAAGAAGAAGATCTGGAAGCGTAACCCTAAAATTTGACTGAAACGCATATTTATAGCAATCTGTTCCGCGATCTCCGCTCGAGCGTAGGAATGGCCGCTCGAGCGAACCGCTGCTCTAGCGCAGGAATTTCCGCTCGAGCGGAAAAACGCAACTGCAAGTATTTTTGCAGGCAATCAAACTTCTGGAACCAAGGATTCTCCACTCGAGTGCCCAAACTGCCGCTCGAGCGGACCTGCAACTTTGAATGCATTTTTGTATTTTGCTTCGGGAGCGCTGCCTTTCAACCCCGCCGTGGCATTCCGCCGGACCCGCCAAGGGACGCTGCCCCCTCGACCTCCGCGAGCTGACCGTGCAGCTCGATCCCCGTCATAGTCAGTGAAGTGACAATCATGAAAGAATTAGCACCACAAACTTCTCTGCAAGGCACAATTCGGGTTGGATTCGCATCTAAAAACTCATAGCCTCACTGAAATAAAAGTGTGAATACAAGTATGACTGAAATGAGTTTTGTCAAACGGGATTGCCAAGAATAAAACCTAACATCTATATAATAAGGCAAGAAGGTTTTTGAAAATATATCAAAATGTCTAAGAGATACATTTTATATCAATGGCTGAGATGATTCCTAATCAAAATTGATGGTCAATTTTGTTTGGCTCAAAATATGTTTCCCGTCCATCTCTCCTCTCTTTTCTTACCACTTCTTCATTTCTTCTCTCACCACTTCTGCCGATCTCCCATCTCTTCTCTCACCACTTATGTCCTCTTTTATCATTCCACTTTTCTCTCATCTCTCATCTCTCTCTCTCCCTCTCCTTCTTCTTCCCACCTCTCTCTCTCTCCAGAAAGTATAGCGACTCTCTCTATCTCTCCCTCTTCTCCCCTCCAGTGAAGACCTGCCTCCACAACACAAAAGCCCACCTTCGCGACTACAACAAATGCAACCCCTCTCTCTCTTTACACATCTCATTCTCGGTCCCGCCCCTGCTAGGTCGCCGATCCGATGCCCTTCCCCACCGAAGCTGTTCTTCAACAAAGTTCAACATATTCGAAATACATGAGGTAAAAAGCCCCAAGAATAGAGGTAAATAGTTGCGTGATGTGTGTGTTCGTCTAATGGCGAAGCCGTTTTTTTATTAACGTATCCCATGAGCAAACTAAATGGATAGCTGTAGCAAAGAAGCAGTTGGGATGATGGTCCTTCTTGAAGCCCTCAGAAGCTTCTGTTTCAACTCAGATTGGACTTACTCTGTTTTCTGGACAATTTGTCCTTGCCCATAGGTTCCTCTCTCTCTCTCTCTCTCTCTCTCTCTCTCTCTCTTTGTGCACTCTTCATATCTTCAAATTAAGATGTTTTCTCAAATAGGTCTCTGCCATTATTGCAGGAGAGTTAGAGGTGGTAATGGTTGCAAAGTTGGAGACAACAATGGTAGCTTGTGAGCATAAACTTCTTCTTTCCTGAATTTTCTTGCAAAAATGGAGGAAAATAAGAGATGGGTTCTGCTAATTGTTTTGTTTTACTGTTTTTTTATGTTGTTCTGAGGTTAAGTACTGTTTGGATGAGCAAGTAATTGAAGTGGTTACGGGTTGATTGGAAGATGGGTTTTGCAAAGGAAGAATTGCAGATTGTTTGGAAGAAATTGATGGAAGTGAAGATCCTGTCAAGAAAGCCTTCAGCAAAATGTCCATCCAGTTATATAATTATGGACAAGGGTGGGTACTTTGTAGGTCTTATTTTAAAAATTTTTAATATGAAATCTCTCATAGTAATTTTAGGGCGTAAAATTGATTATACAAATAAGAAAAATTGGCTAAATGTTTAGTTCTCCTCTCTCTATTTGATTTTTTTTTAATCAGCTGGTTTTCATACCATGTTAAACCATTAAAGGTATCCCACTTCTTTAATATGATGTTTGGCTTCCATTGGGAATTAAATTGTTCAATTTGCTTTTAGTTTACGATTATTTTTTTTAAAATTTAATATTATCATTTGTAAATGTTCTGCAAATATAATACTTGATCTTAAAATGTAATTTATCATCTGGATTAAAATGTAATTTATCCAATTTAATCTTAACATTATGTTTCTTAAATGGATTTAATTTTTTAAAAGATTTTGGATTTGAAATAATACTTGATCTTCATAAAAATGGATTTTATTTTTTAAATGGGTTTTGATTTTTGACATGGTTTTGAAATGGGTATTGATTTCCTATGATGTAATCAAATCACGAATTTGAGAGAAAATAGAGTGAAGAAAAAAATAGAAAAAACATGAACAAAAGAAGGCACTCATTGCCACAGTCCGTTCCGCGACTGTCCACCACCATTAAAGAGGAAGATGAAACAAAGGAAATAAGGGTTTGGAGAGAGAATAGTTAGAGACGTTAGAGGGAGAGAGACAATATGTAGAGGGAAGGAAGAGAGGAGAGTAGAGATAATAGGTACAGAGAGAATGAGTGGGGAAGAGAGAGAGAGTGTGTGTGTGTGTATGGGTGAGAGTAGAGAGAGAGTCCAAAAAAGAAAGAGTGAGTGGGACACATGTAAAGAGTCCTAGAAAATTGTGATTCATTTATCTCTCTTCTTAAATAATTGAAAAAATTAGTGTAATCAGGAACATGTATATTCTCTAAAATAAAAATAATAATGATAATGATAAGGTCAAACAAAATTAGTATTTTAATTTTTGATTATTTTAAGAGATTAAAATAGTTATATTTGAAAAGATAATTAATTTGAGAAAAAATGATTATGAATTTGATAGTGTCACCATAACATAAATTATAATGTTATCTTTCCATAAATCATAATAATTTTATGTTAAAAAATGTTTGTAGAAAAAAAAAATTAATTGTCAAATTGAACATAAAATTTAAATAAATAAAAAAAATTAAAATGTTTCTGTTTACTAAGGAACGTAACATTATTAGAAAATGTTTATTTATTAAAAAACGTGACTGTCATTTTTTTTTTAAATTGTATCATTAGAAATGTTTATTTATTGAAAAACGTAACTATCATTTAAAAAGAAAAAAAGAAAAAAGAAAAAGCGGTTATGTGAAGAATGTTGTTTTTATGGAAAATGTTGTTTTGGGGTTAGATAAATTTGAACTCAAATATTGTCTTGGAATATGCGAGGATTGAATGTTAGGGGGAAGAGGGTGTTGGTAAAATCAGTGTTAAACAGCGCTAAGGCAAATGTGGTGTGTCTACAGGAAACAAAGATGGATTGTATTGAGAGAGAAACTGCAAGGGATTTGTGGGAAGGCCGTTTTGTGGATTGGGATTTTCTTCCTGCCCTGGGAGTGGCTGGGGGTGTTCTTATTTGCTAGGACCGAAGGGTGGTGGTGAGGGAGGATGTCGAAGTGGGGGGTTTTTCGTTATCTTGCCTATTTCGGTGTGTAAAGGATGACTTTCGTTGGGCCTTTACCGGGGTTTATGGTCCAGTTCGTGGAGGGGAGAGGTTTTTTTTTTTTGGAGGAGTTGCAGAGCATTGGTTATCGCTGGGGGGTTCCCTGGTGTGTGGGAGGGGATTTCAATGTGGTTCGCTGTATGGCGGAAAAGTCTAGGGTAATTTCGGGGTTGGGTTCAATGAGACGTTTCTCTTTGTTCATTGATGAGATGGAGTTGGTCAATTTTCCGCTTCAGGGTGGTAGTTTCACTTGGTCCGGGAGTGGAGTGATGTCTCGAATTGATCGATTTTTGGTCACAAGGGATTGGAAGGAGCATTTCTTATAGGCGACCCAATGGCATTTACATCGGCCCACTTCGGACCGTTGGCCTATCTTACTGGATAGTGGGGGTGTCAGACATGGACCAACACCTTTTCGTTTTGAAAACATGTGGTTGCGGTCTGAAGGCTTTGTGGAGTTGATTCAAGGGTGGTGAGGAAGTTATCGTGTGGCAGAATTGCCTAGTTCTCGATTGGCACAGAAATTGAAGTTTCTCAAATTAGACCTAAAAAAATGAAATCGGGAGGTTTTTGGTTGCTTGGAGGATCAAAAGGCGAAAGTTGTTTATGCATTGAAGGTGTTGGATGAGAAGGAAGGTGCTGGGGTGTTATCTGCAGTAGATATGTCTATCCGGGTGGAGGTTCGTAAGGAGTTTGGCCATCTTGCACACATGGAAGAGATCGGTTTTCGCCAGAAGTCTAGATGTTTGTGGCTAAAGGATGGGGATCGAAACACGAAGTTTTTCCACCATATAGCAAATGTTCATCGCCAGGTTAATCAAATAGGGCGAATTCGAGTGAATGGGGTGGATTTTTCGACCTCCGAGGGTGTCAAGAACAGTATTGTGGGTTACTATAAGCATTTGTTTTGAAATGTAGGAGAAGGGTGGAGGGCGGGTCTGGATGGGGTAATTTTCAATGTCATTTCGGAGGCAGTTTGTACGTCATTGGAGAGGCCATTTTCTAAAGAGGAAGTGTTTGCAGCATTGCATAGTATGTCTGGAGATAAGGCTCCTGGTCCAGATGGGTTTACAATTTCCTTTTTCCAACACTGTTGGGGGGTGGTTAAAACAGAGGTGATGGCTATGTTCGACTAGTTTCATCAAATAGGCGAATTTGAGAAGAGCCTTAATGCCACATTTCTTGCTTTGATTCCAAAAAAGGGTGGGGCAGAGGATATTCGAGATTTTCGTCCTATTAGTCTTTTGGGCAGTGTGTATAAGCTGTTAGCTAAGGTTTTGGAGAATCGGTTACGGGTAGTGCTAGATGGGGTGGTCTCGGATTCTCAAAATGCTTTTGTGGGGGGTAGGCAAATTTTGGACACGGTGCTTGTGGTGAATGAGTGTGTGGATTCGTGGTTGCGTCAAGGGAAACCGGGGTTAATATGTAAATTAGATATCGAAAAGGCTTATGATAATGTGAATTGGCAGTTTTTGATGTACATGTTGGAGAGGTTGGGTTTTGGGGAAAGATGGTGGCGTTGGGTTTTGTTTTGTATTTCTACAGTGCGGATGTCGGTGTTGGTTAATGGGTCTCCGGAAGGTTTCTTTCCGACTCAACGAGGATTGCAACAGGGTGATCCTTTATCTCCTTTGTTATTCATCTTGGTTATGGAGGCTTTGGGGCGTTTGTTGGCTAGAGCGGTGCAACAAGGTTTGTTGAAAGGATTTGAGGTCGGGGTGGTTCCAGGGGTGGTGGAGGTGTCTCATTTGTTTTATGCAGATGATGCCCTCATTTTCTGTGATGCGGAGGAGGAGCATATTGGGTACTTGAGATGTGTGCTTTTGTGTTTTGAGGCGGTGTCCGGGCTTCGAGTGAATTTAGCAAAGTCCGAATTGATCCCGGTGGGGGAGACGGCGAGAACTTCGATTTTTGCCACTATTTTAGGGTGTAAAGTGGTTTATTTGCTTGTTACATATTTGGGCTTGCCTTTGGGGGCTTCTTTTAAGGCCAAACGAGTAGGGGATGGGGTCGTGGATAAGGTGCAACGGCGGTTGGCAAGATGGAAGCGACAGTATTTGTCAAAGGGTGGTTGGCTTGTATTGATTAAAAGTGTTTTAGCAAGTATTTCGACTTATTTTATGTCTGTTCACGTGATCCCGGTGTCAGTAGCAAGGTGGATTGAGCAGCTGCAACGGCACTTTTTGTGGGGTGGTGGAGGTGAGGGTGCTCATTATCATTTATTATCATGGGATCAGATCTGCCTGCCTAAGGAGAGCGGGGGTTTGGGGGTTCGGAGGTTGGTCTTGTTTAATTTGGCTTTGCTGGGGAAGTGGTTGTGGCGTTTTGTGGTGGAAAAGGAGCAGCTTTGGAGAAGGGTGGTGGTTGCTAAGTTTGGTATGGGTAGGGGGGAGTGGTGTTCCAAAACGGTGGGTCTTTCTCATGGTTGTGGTGTGTGGAAGGGGATTTGGTTAGGTCGGGAGGCTTTTTGGAGTAGGGTGCGGTTGAAAGTTGGTACGGGGGATCGAGTTCGGTTTTGGAGGGATAGGTGGTGTGGTGACTTGTCTTTAGAGTTTCAATTCCCTTTGATCTTTGCTATTGCTGTTGATTATGAGGTGTTGGTGGCTACTGTCAAGATTGGGGAGGGGCAATCGACGGTGTGGAATGTGCAGTTGCGTCGCAATGTTCAGGATTGGGAGCAAGATCAGTTGGTGGAACTTTTGGGCTTTTTATATGGTTTGAAGTTTGTGGGGAACGGTCAGGACTCTTTGGTTTGGGATTGTCCTAGATCCAAAGGTATTTTTACTTTGTCTTTTTTTTATAGAAGGCTTGTTCAGGATGGGTTTGCACAGGATGTTGCTAGGGTTTATCCGTGGAGAGGTGTTTGGTTGTCGGGCTTGCCTTCAAAGGTTGCCTTTTTTGTTTGGACAGCAAGTTTGGGTGGTGTCTTGACCATTGATAATTTGATTTGTCGTGGGCATATTTTGGTAAATTGGTGTTGTTTGTGTGGTAGGGCAACAGAATCAGTTGACCATTTGCTTATTCTTTGACTGGTCTCGTCTCGTCTTTGGATGCTTATGATTGCAGTTTTTGGTTTAGTTTGGGTTCAACCAGGCTCGGTGCTCACAATTGTGCAAAGTTGGGCAGTAGGGCGGCAGTGTAATAAGGCTTGGCTTCCTGCGTCGCACTGTTTAATGTGGATGATTTGGTTGGAGCGTAATAGGCGGGTGTTTCAAGGGGTGGCTCACTCCATTTCTTGGTTAGAGAGATGGCTTCTTATCGTTTTGTATAGTCGGGTGACAAGTTTAGTAGATCCGGATGTGTTGGCTTTTGTAGATTTTGTAGAGGATTTGATTTGTTAATTAGGTCGAGGTTTCGGGGCCTCTTTTGTATTTCTTGCATCTTCTTGATGCTTTCTTAATAAAGTTTGGTTATTTATCCCAAAAAAAAAAAAATTTGAACTCAAAATTTAAATTGAGTTATGTTAAAATGTAATCTACTCACAAGGCAAGTAAGAGAGAGAGAAGGGGATAATGAGGGTGTGTGATTTGTTTAAAGACTAAAAAAAGAATTTTTTTTAATAGAACTCTTTTACGCGGTAACAAAACCCACTAAACATATTCTTACAATAAATTATTTTTGTCAATTTTTACTATAATTTTATGGGAAATTTAGCTATAAACTCCCTTTATCTTCCTTTCATTGTTAAAAGGACTAAGAAAAAAATTATACTTTTTAAACCCCCTCATAATTATAAAATCTTGCATAAAGGACAAAATTTATTATTTAAATATTTTATTAGACTATTATACCCTCAACTAAATTATGATTTATTATTTAAAATTATACTTTCTACAGCCTCTCTTGAATCTCCATTGTCATCTCCATCACTCTCCCTCTCCCTTGCTCCTGAATCGCCTTCTGCAAAAACATCTCACTCTCTCCCGTCGCAATCAACCGATCGATCGTCGATTCATCCGCCTTTTCACCTGTCACTGTGTAGTATCGTCGTTCAACTGTCTCTTTGTACTCAGCCATGATTAATTGCTGGATATTTGTGAAACAATTCATCGAATTGTTCAGTTTTTTGCGAAGGCCGTTCACGACCGAGCTGCGTATGCGGTCTGAAGAGCTTCCGGTTAAATCTCTGCAACATCTCAACAGTAGTGAGACTCGCATAGTTCTTCTCAGCAATCAATTTGTAGGTCTCCTCCGATTGGACCTCGTAAACGAACTCGTGACCTAGAAACCCTAGTTCGCCAATGCAAGCACATAAGAAGGGGACATTGACTCTGGAATCACACTAAACTGAGTCTAGATTGGTGATTTGAGGATTGTAGATTTGGATTTGGGATAGTGAAGAGGAAAGTAATTTGGATATGTATGTGAGATTCGATCCGTCCCAAACGTAATACGAAGCTAATGCGTTGCATTGTTGTTGTTCACTACTGCATTTGGAATCTACTCCAATGGAAAAGAGGATGATTTGAGTTTTGAATATATATATATATATATATATTTGTGTGTATGAGTGTTGTTGAACACATGTATTATTTTCATTGAGATTTGTGATTGTTGATGGAGTTTTAGAAGTATTTCTTCTCAATTAGATATGTTGATTTGTTGATTAATTTATTTTGTTTTTGTTTGTTTTTTTTTTTATTTATATTTGTTGTTTTTGATCTAATTTCATTTTGCTCTGTTTTTTTCATTTGACAGAACCAGAGTAAAATTTTAGTTTTATACAGAGTAAAATTTTAGTTTTGTATAGAGTCTAACATTTTACTAGTTTTTCAGAGTAAAATTTTACTTTTATACAGAGTAAAATTTTACTTTTAGTTTCAGAGTGTAACATTTTACTCTTATTCAGAGTAAAATTTTACTTTCATACAGAGTAAAATTTTACTTTTAGTTTCAGAATGTAAAATTTTACTTTCATACAGAGTAAAATTTTACTTGCATACAGAGTAAAATTTTACTTTTAGTTTCAGAATGTAAAATTTTACTTTTACACAGAGTAAAATTTTACTTTCATACAGTGTAAAATTTTACTTTTATACAGAGTAAAATTTTACTCTGAAATATATAGTGAAGATGACTTGATATGAGAGTTTATAGATATGAGGGTAATATAGTAAAAGAAACAAGTTTTAAAATATTATGGGGTTTTGAAAGTACTTATATAATTCTTATCATTTTGAAAGACAAATTAGATAGTGAGGGGTCTATTACCAAATCCCCTAATTTTATTGGGCGAATTTTTATATGGGCAATTTTATATATAAAAAAAACATTTGAAAGTCGAAATCGGATCTATATTTATATTTTGACCGTAAATTTTTAGCAACAAATTTGATAAATTATATTTTAATTTAATAATTTTATTTTCATTTATATTTTAATCTCATCATTAATTACACCGTACCTTCAGGCATGAGCATACACTAGTAATTATATATCACGAGATTAATTTATACATGTTTTAAATAAATAAAAAAATCAACATGTTTAACAAAAATGTTTAAAAAATTAAAAGAAATAAATATTATATATTTGGAAGTCAATTTTATTATTTAACTAGTTAATCCAAAGATTGACTCAAATCGTCCAATTTTTATCCTACACCCCCCATGAGATAGAGTTATCTCCCCCATGAGATAGAGTTATCTCACATATGGGGGTTATTAGTGAAATTTTTATTTTTCTATCCAAATTGGACATGTAATCCAATCCTCCAATTCTATCTCACCAAACAAACCCTCCTAAATGCCATATGGTCAAAGATATTGTAGACATCCTATCCATCAAAGCAACATGATAGTTTCTACTCTCTTCTCGAATCATTCCTCATCATCTAAATGCCATATGGTCTCACAATGACTGAACGTGGATCATTCATCAACTTTCTAAACAAAATTATGGCCTTGGATTATGGTTTCATAGCCTTTCTGATTTTAAATTTGTTTTTAAAAAACGATTAAGTCTTGTTTCAATAATTCAATTTATTCATTTTTTAGGGAACTTTGTATATATCATTAATTTTTTATTTATTTATAAACAAATGCGATAAAGTGAAAAGGCTAACTTTCCAACCCACAAGATAAATTGATGGGTGTTGTTCAGGCCCGTGAGGCCTACCACGAGTCCCATTTTGAATATCTGAATTGTTTATTTAGTACGGTCCTCGCTTGGTGTATATTGTTTGGTGGGAAGAAAAAAAAAACACACTCATTATTTGCATATAATTTTTTCTTTTTTTTGGATATAAATAATTTTTAAAATTTAAAAATATTTGTTTGATGTTTATTTTTGTCAAAATAATTTTAAAATTTTCAAAAAAAAGTACAACTCAAAAAATTTCACTATTGATGAATTATCTTTCAAGAGTTTTACGTTGACCTGATGAATAATAAAGACTAAATAAATAAATGACTCTCAAAATAAAGAAATAGTAAATAAATTATACAGTATTATTGGATGGACACACAAACACGTGATGTTTTGAATCTACTAAACAATTTATAGTATCAAGGGAAAATGTATGATGTCATACTTTGCATGTTTATAGGATGTAGTTGTGAATTTGCTCTGTATGGAGGGGAGTCCCCTTGGGTCGGCCCAGAGGAAAGGCAAACAAGGCTATTATCTTGAGTTGCAAATTTAAATAAAATTATTTTTTTTGACAATAATTTCAGCCTTTACATTCCATTTGGATCAAAGAGTTTAATGGAAAAAATGAAAATATAAAGAAAGACATCTCTTATAATTTGTTTGGATGATTAAATATATGATAAATGCTGAGAAAGGGAATCCCTTAAAACCACACTTTTATTTCTAACTAAAATTTAAATTGTTATATGTAAAATTTTTATAGTACCTCAATTATTTCTCTAACTACACGTGTTCTTTTTATTTGTTGAATGTAAATAAGATGGTGAAGAATAACAATTATTTATTTTATTTTCTTATCTATAGTCCAAATGAAGTATTATCATATTAATAAGCGGAATGCAGGTCCAATTTAACCTTTACAATCCTAACTGAAGCCTAAAAAAATTCTGCCGTCAATTTGAGATTTAAAATATAAATAAATGCTAGAAATTCATAATTAAAATCTTACAATTTAGCTATCATAATGATATAGTAAGAGAGTTGGGCTTATATGTTGGAATTTGTGATAAATTAAACAGTCTTGCTATATCCTCCTCATCGAGATCCCCTAATTCTATCTCCAATGACGGGGTTAAAACTCAGGTGAAGTAGTCTCACGCTCCTCTCTCTCTCTCTTATCTTTAGCCCCCAAATTTCACATCATTGGGGATGGAATTAGTGGGGCTAAATTAGCGAGATTAATCATTTTTTAAAATTAAAATTGACATATAGCTTGTCATGCTATTGTGGGTCTTAATATTGTGGGGAACTTATGAACTTGTCAAATGGACCAGACTTCATACCCAACAAGTTCTGTTCAAAATTCATAGGTTCATGTTTCTAGTTTTGTCATTACAACTCAACCTACTAACCTATAATTTTCAATTCATAACGATTGTCACAACCACCTCACCGATTTTCAAAAAATCTCAATAACAAAAAATACGATTTTCAAGACTAATATGTCCATTAAAATCTCACCAGGATTTATTAGATAATAACTCTAACCAATAGGACTAGCTGAAAATTCTGTCTTATGGTCCTTTTCCCAAAATGTATTGAGTCCAATTCAAGCCCACAATCTAGTACTATACTAAAGGCCCAAAAGAATTTGGGCTTCAAATTGAAATTATAAATGGTTGGGTCTAATTCACATACCTCCTTCTCAAGCTTCCCTTCTCCTTTTATATCGTCATTCTTCTTGATATTTTCTTTATGTAGCCTAGCCCTCCATCATTACAAGGCCATCTCCGTATCATATTTTTATTAAAGGATTTTATTTAAAAGAAAGGTCAATCTAAATTCGTCTAACCGGGTGAAGCTAAATTTCTCGATACACTCGGCTCGACCTTATGGTTCAGGTACTCTTTACTTGACATATTCTCCTCCCTATTGCTGT